TTCTAGCCGAGCGCCAGGCACTTAAGCAAGATAAGTGGCAGCTGGCACTATAAGCCGAACCCCAGACACTTGCTAAAAATTTAAAGCCAAGTGGCAAGTGGCATTCTAGCCGAGCGCCAGGCACTTAAGCAAGATAAGTGGCAGCTGGCACTATAAGCCGAACCCCAGACACTTGCTAAAAATTTAAAGCCAAGTGGCAAGTGGCATTCTAGCCGAGCGCCAGGCACTTAAGCAAGATAAGTGGCAGCTGGCACTATAAGCCGAACGCCAGACACTTGCTAAAAATTTAAAGCCAAGTGGCAAGTGGCATTCTAGCCGAGCGCCAGGCACTTGCCGTACAAACACAGCGAAGCTAATATAAAAAGAAAAAGAGAGAAAAGATATGTATATACTGAAGATAAGTTGAACAGAGCACAACACATAGAGAAAAAGAGTTCGGCCATTTCATTAATATTGAACATTTAGTTTACAAAAGAGAGATGTCCATCATTACAAGAAGATATGAACTAGAAGAATTCGAAGGAGCCCTAGCCAGACGCCTCAGTACCAACAGCATCTTGGTCTTGCCGACTCGCCTCCTCGGCCCCATCAGCCGCCTCACCTTCATGAGGTGGGGAATTCAGGTGAATAACTGAGTCGTTCGGCTGGGGTTCAGCGTCAGCAGTGGCTACAGAGGGAGCCACGGTTGACGATTGGGGAGCGGTCAGTGGCAGAGCGGCAGGAGGAGCTGTGATGATCCTTGAGGATGCGATGTCCTGGCACTCATCAAATATACGTTCCGCTTCGGTAGGTTCTGGGTCGACATAGACCCCCAGAGGTTCGATCCCCAGATCCTTGTCTACCTCATCCGGAGTGGAGCTGGTCTGTCCCTCATCCGGAACCCGGTCGGCGAAACCTTCCCGGAATCCTTGAGCATACCGAAGAGCACCGACCCTGGAGAACCGAGCGTGAAGGGCCAGCATCCCACCACCCACTCTGCTGATAGCGTCGATCAGAGCGGTACGCTCGTCCAGAGCTCTTTTTTCAAAAGCCATCCGAGCAGACTGTTCATCAGCTAGAAGGCGTTGGAGTTCTGCCTTCTCTTCTCTGAGTGATTCCTGCTCAGTCTGCCAGACGCTCTTCTCAAGCTGGAGGGCGTCCTTCTCATCCTGAAGGGAATCATTCTCCTTTTTCAGGACATCTCTCTCTTGCTCGGCTTTGTCAAGCCGAACCAGCACCTCGGTATTCTTCATGGCAAGGAGGTCGTTTTCTTTATTAGCCACCTCCAGGCTGTCAGAATACTTTCGGGCCCTGGCATTCCCCATCTCCACCTGCTTCTGCATGGCCATCATCCCGAACAATGTCTGCATAGGCGCACAATAAGAACGGTTAAACCAATAGTCAGAACGGGCGAAGGCAAGACCAAGTAATAAAAGAGAATTCATGAGTTAGAAAATAAAAGTCACCTCCATAGCAAATTGGGGGAAGCGACTGAACACGTCATTCTGGGAAAGGCCCTTTGCCGCCTCAATGTCCTTCGGAGTCCACATGCTCCTGTAGTAGGCCATAGCGGTCTGGCCATCCTTCAGCATGGTCTCGTTCGGTTTCACGAACGTCCCATCCGTTCGGGTGTACCGAGGGGCCCATGGCGGTAAGCTGGGGATAGAAGGGGGGCCTGAAGCAGAAGCAGAGCCACCAGCTGCAGGAGGCCCAGAGGGAGAAGGAGCTCTGATCGCTCGGTGCAAGAGAGTACCCGGCCCAGAGACTCGGGTCCTTCTAATAAGAAGCTCCTCCTCAGGATCAATTTCACTGTCAGGATGAGGCCTTTTGCCTCGCTCTTTGTCCCGACCGCCCCCCGCAGCAGCAGGAGCTATGGTAGCTGGGGAGGGCGCGTTCTGGTTGGCAGCAGGGGCGCTGGCAACAGGGTTAGTGGCCACTGCGCTCGGGACAGTGTCAGATATGGTGGCTGAAGAAGAAGCCGACGCTGGAGAGGAGGTCGCCCCAGCAGCAGGAGTGGCTGGGGGAGTATTTTTCCTCCTGCCAAAAGAGGGAATCTGCAGTCTGCTCATATTGTAGCCGAGTGATGAGAGCGCAAAGAGGTTGTCTGAAGTGAGGAGATCTGAGCAGGAAGGAATATCGTTCAGAACGTATCTCTTCAAGTAGTTACTCCTATCCCTGCAAACACTATAGCTCAAATCATCACAAGGTATTCCCAAGGAGCGGCATAAGTAAGTGCAAAAACGAGGAACGCATGTTTCACAGGGGCAGTCATGTTTATGGGATTTGAATTTTTTATAGGAGGAGACAGAGCAGACACCAAAGGCGCTCGGGATTGGGTAATCCTCTGCAGCCGGCGAAGACCAAGCCCCACTAATGCCCACTATGCTATCCCTCCAACCCTTTTCAGATTTTATTGTGTCAGTGCATATGGACATCTTCTCGAACGGGTAGAGGTGGTAGAACGGCTCGTTAGTACGGATCTTACTGACCTTATAGCACAGAAGGAGGTCTATGAGGTCAAGGTCCAGATTTCTGTCACGCATCAATAAGAGCATAACAGATATGATCCTAAAGAAGTTGGGGTTGACCTGCAGAGGGGATATCCCCAATCTATTGAAGACATAACTAAAGCAAGGGTGCAGAGGGAACCTAACAACATTCAGTTGAAGGTTCGTGAATAAGACTTCGCCGGGCAGGAGGCCGGCGCCGGTCGTAATATTAACGTCTTGGGGGCAAACCCTAACTTCGATGTTGTCAGGAAGTCTAAGTCTCATACGAAGAACACCCAGATCTACAACCATGGTGGAAGTGCTAGAAGAATCTAAAAGAGGGAAAATGGAAGCCTGCCGAAAGTAAAAAGAACGAAACTAACCTCGTAGGACTGCAAGATCGCTGGGAGAATGACTCTCGAAGGATTTCACCGGAAAAGGCTTAGCACAGTTCTAGAAAGAGGGAGATTTAACTGATGATGGAGACGGTAAAGGGAAGTGAAGTGGAATTCTAGAGCATTATAAAGGCAAGGGGGCCCGAGGGCCGAAGCGTCGGGAAGGCAAGAAATCCCTCGAGCCCCGGAACATTGATTCTGGATCTGACCGTTCGCTCCCCACGTGGTTATCTCGAGCCGTCAGCGTCATGATGAGACGCCATCAATAATTACCCCTTATTAAATAAGGGGCAATTATGGGGGCAGTTGAGGAGGCCCCGGATGACACGGGCCAGGTCCGACTCGCAAAACGCAACCTTCAGTCCGAACAGCTGGGTCAGCCCATAGAAAGACACTGCCATATGGGCCGAGCGGGAGTAAGCCCATCAAGGGTGACCAGGGCTTACAGAGGAATAGGCCCAGGTCCAGCAATTAGTAAATATCTTGTAAATATCTTGTAAATATCTTGTAAGTGTCTATAAATAGGAATTGGAATGAAGAGGAGAGGGATTTTTCCGGGTTGAGGTGTAAGAATTCTAGAGAGAGAAAGAATAGAAGGAGTTTCTCGCATCTTCACTTATATTATACGTAAAATCCAAACAAAATTCTACTAAAAAGAATGCAAACTAATGATATTTGTGCTCTTTAGTCCTATAAGAAAAAATAGATTAAAAATCAAAATTTACATGAACAAAGCTTAGATCTACGGATAATACTTTGGAGTTTATGCATAATATTTAGTGAAATTATATGGGTTTTTAAGGTGTGTTTGGATTTTGAAGTGAAGCTTTGAAGTTTAAAAGTTACTGTGAGTCCTTGAAGAGTCCATTAATAAAAGCTGATAAAGTTTTTAGGGAGAGAAAGAAAGAAGACAACATATTTTGGAAAAAAATAGACATATTTTGGATAAAATATTTAAATGTGTTTATAGATATGAAGTATAATATTTAAAGTTTTTTCTAAAATGGTAAAAATGATGGTGATTTTCACCGCGCTAAAAAAAAAAAAAAAAAACCAGTAAAGTGTTGAATTTTTGCAATTAATTACTAATCTTGTGAGATGAAGATGGTCCCTCAATCCTATAATCTCTGATCCAATTTTCTCGCCAAACAATCGTTATTCTAGAAATTCAATCCCACATCACAAAACCACCCATGACCACCACTGGAGACACAGCTCCACCACCACCAACAAAAAACTAACCCTCATCTTCCTCATGAGCTCGCCACCGCCTACCCCAGCAACGGCGGCTTCGTCCTCTGGGCACCGCGCCTTCTGCTGCTCCCTTATGGCCACCTGGAAATTTCTTTCCGGCGTCATCCGCCTTGGCACCTTCCCCGTCCTCTGCGTCGGTTACGTCGAGAAAATCTTCCCCTTCTTCGCCTCCGGCCTCCATCGCTACCACGCAATCCTCGCCGGTCCGGCCTTCTTCACCCCGTTGCTCAATGCTCCCTCTGTGCCGTCAATCACTTCGCCGGCCACGATGGAACTATCAACAACTCATCGCTGTCTGCGTCGACAACTCTCTCATCGCCGGATTCTGCTTTGTTATATACATTTTTGGCTCTGTTTCCCAGTAAATTGGTACCTAATTTGGTATGATTATGTTGCCTGATTTATGGTGTTGGAACTTAATAATTTTGGTTTGCTAGTTTAAAATTTTGTAATGTGGGTGTTATTACTGGTGTTTTCATATTATTTTTGGTAAGAAAATTTGACACAGAATGCGAGGTTAGAGAGAGAGGAGGGGGAAAATTTCACTGGTGTTTTTATTTCGTCGGTAAAGATAGTAGGGCAAGATGGTAATTATACATTGACGAAAGGCCCAAGAAAAAATGTCGTGGAAGTAATCCGTTGTTGGAAAAGTCAACTACACGTGACAGCTGATAAGCGACTGCGCTTTATATCTACATGACTTGTATATCAACCCAAAAGAAGAAAAGAAGAGATACTCATCGAGCCACGCATGTAAACAAACAAAATCACAACTCACTGCCACCAAGCACCGGGGATAAGAGAAAAAGTCCCCAAGTCAAAGGTGACGGCGTGGATCAAAATATCATCTCCATAAATAACACAAAAACTAATATTATAGAAACCACTAAAACTTGTAGTGGCTTAGCTATATCAATTCTATATCTGTTTTTGAACATGAGTTCAGCTACAACCAGAAAGCCTCATGCAGTATGTGTACCATTCCCAGCACAAGGCCATGTTAGCCCCATGATGCAACTGGCCAAGCTTCTATACTCAAGAGGCTTCCATATCACCTTTGTCAACACTGAGTTCAACCATAGAAGGTTGGTTAGGTCCAAGGGACCAGACTCAGTTAAGGGCTTGCCCGACTTCCGGTTCCAGACCATACCGGATGGTTTGCCACCATCAGACCACGACGCAACCCAAGATGTCCCTCCGTTATGTGACTCAACCCGAAAAAACTGTTTGGCTCCATTTAAAGATTTGTTAGCTAAGCTGAATTCATCAGCAGATGTGCCTCCTGTTTCGTGCATAGTTTCGGATGGAATCATGAGCTTTGGCATAGAAGCAGCCAAAGATTTTGGCATTCCAGAGGTTCAATTTTGGACCGCCTCTGCATGTTCCTTCATGGGATATCTGAATTTTCGTGAAGTCGTCAAAAGACGCATTATTCCATTTAAAGGTACTTTTTCTGGTTGGTTTTGTAGTCCCATATGGTTTCTTATGTTATGCTGTAATATTTAGGCCCATATTTATCCTTTGATATTTGATGACACAAGGTGATGGAGTCAAAATTTCATAACTTGAAAAAAATAAAGTTGATCAAAATATTAACTTTTTGTGCATTAAGTACCATTTTTTTATACATCACAAAAGGTGGTATTTGATGACAAAAAGTGATTCCTGTATCACAAATAGTGATACTTGATGACAAAAAGTGATACATATGTGTCTGAAAGTAATACTTATGTGGGAATAACATATCTTTATTTTTTCAGAACTATTTTAACTCCATCAAATAATAAATATCAGTCAATAGTACCATTTATAAGTAAAAATTCCAAAACTTTACCACTATCATAAGTTCATAACATATGATTAACCGCTGAATTTTATAGTTTCATCGCCCTATGTTTACTTCTTTTTCATTTACTTTTTCTGCAAATATTAGATTGAGACTCAAACTATGTCACATGGTGCAAAAGCTGTATTGGGTGAATGTAACGTAAAACTAAGAACAAATTTCATAAATATGAAGAAATTATAATTCATTTTTTTTTTTTTAAAAAAAAAAACCACACCAAAAATATAATATATAATTATTTAATAGTTCGACCTTAAATCAGAATCAATTCGATTCACAGATTGGACCATACGGTCTAGTGTGGTTGGGACTGGTTCCCCAGTTGGACCACATATTTGTACATCCCGCTAATAATATGGGTCCTCCATAGCTTTACCTTTTGTCAAGGTTTTGGTGAGTTCTTGTTTGGTAGCCAAGAAAAATTTGGTAAAAAGAGATTAGTTATTAACTATCTAACAAACTCCAAAATTTAAATAACAAGCAACGCCATAGTCTTCATTAAAATAAAATAAAATAAATAAATCATGGTCAGTGCTTTAATTTCTCTCCCTCCTGTAAGGCGAAGTTCCAAAACTGTTGCATGTGGAGCCCCCAACCCCTCTCATGCACATTTATTTTTTCATATTAGAGATTGAATTTTTTTCCAATGTTTAAGTACATAACCCAAATCTTCTCCTATGCCAATTTTTTTTTTATTTTCCTGTGTCTACCCTATTATGAATTTGCTTATACGTACAACAACAATGTTATATCCCTTATGTAGCAATCTAAATAATAAAAATACATTTTCTTTTATGTTTTTGTTACACTACATGGTAGTGCGTCGCACTAGCCATGAACTAGTAACACAGGACCAAAACACACGATCCGCCCAATTCTAAACTAAAAGGCAATATATATATATATATATATATATATATATATATTACTCTTAAATGAAGACCAAGCAACTTTTAATGCATCTTTCTTTCTGTTATTGCAAATCATATGGTCACAGCTACATAGGCCTATTTTTACTTTTTGAGTGGTCTTACTTGGGCAAAAATAGGAATGGTAAAATGGGTCATAAATCATCAACTCGTTCATATTCATTCATTTTTTAATAGTTTTGAGTGAAACATATTTAAAATGGGTCAAAAATGAGTTGGATAATATTTAATTACTTAATTTGAAGGTCTGGGTTGAATATGGTTACTCATATTTAACTAATATTTCACCCATCACATAATAGACACACAACACACATCTATTTTATATTGCACTCAACTCATTTCTCTTTCTCTAAAATTCATTCACTCACAATTAGGACTGCAAGTTAGGTTGACCCAACTCAGCCCAGTCCCAACCTAACCTCAACCCGAAATTGGGTTGGGTTGGGCCAGCCCAAATATTTTGTGCTGATTTCACGGGTCAAATTTTTTTTCCCTAAATATGCAAATTATATTTTTCTTTTCCATATTTGTAAACATCAAAATTCTTAAGAAAATTTTATTTTTAAAACATCAATATTTTGGGTGGGTCGATCGGGTTTCACGGGTCAAAATTTTTTTTTAACAAATATACAAATGATATTTTCCTTCTCCAAGTTTGTAAACATAAAAATTTTTATTTTTTAAACATCAATATTTTGGACGGGTCGGTCGAGTTTCATGGTTCAATTTTTTTTTATTTTTTATTTTTTTATTTATTTTTTATTTTTTTATTTTTCAAATATGCAAATTACATTTTCCATTTCCATGTTTGTAAACATTAAAGTTTTTAACAAAATTTTATTTTTAAAACATCAATATTTTGGCCGGGTCGATCAGGTTTCACGGGTCAAATTATTTATTATTATTATTTTTTTAAATACGCAAATTACATTTTCCTTGTCCATGTTTGTAAACATCAAAGTTTTTAAGAAAATTTTATTTTTTGGCCGGGTCAATCAGGTTTCACGAGTCAAATTTTTTTTTTTTTTTTGTTCAAATATGCAAATTGCATTTTCCGTTTCTATGTTTGTAAACATCAAAGTTTTTAAGAAAATTTTATTTCTAAAACATCAATATTTTGATCGGGTCGATTGGGTTTCACAGGTCAAAGTTTATTTTATTTATTTATTTTTTTTTTCAAATATGCAAATTACATTTTCCTTTTCAATGTTTGTAAACATCAAAGTTTTTAAGAAAATTTTATTTTTAAAAAATCAATATTTTGGACGGGTCGTTCTGGTTTCACGGGTCCAATTTTTTTTTTTTTTTTTTTTCAAATATGCAAATTACATTTTCCTTTTCCATGTTTGTAAATATCAAAATTTTGAAGAAAATTTTATTTTTAAACATCAATATTTTGGGTAGGTCATTTGGGTTTCACGGGTCAATTTTTTTTTTTTTTTTTTTTTCAAATATGCAAATTACATTTTCCTTTTACATGTTTGTAAACATCAAAGTTTTTAAGAAAATTTATTTTTAAAATGTCAATATTTTGGGCAGGTCGATCGGGTTTCACGGGTCCAATTTTTTTTTTTTTTTTTTGCAAATATGTAAATTACATTTTTTTACAAATATGCAAAATAATAATAATAATTATTAATGGGTCCACGGGTCATAACGGGTTAACCGTATACATTTTTGACCCGTCCATTTTAAACCCGTTCTGAATAGGTTAAATATGGGTCTTGAACTATGTTTAACCCGCCCATTTTTAACCCAACCCAAACCCGGCCCAGCCCGCCCATTTGTCATCCATGGGCAAAAGTGTTGAAGAGAATTGCTTGACCGAATAATTTTGATTGATCACTTCAACTCATTGGTTTTAAAGCATTTTCCTTACTTACATGGTAGATTGCAAAATGATCAACAAAGACTTATTTAATACAGTCGCAATGATGTGACAATATAATTTTTGAACAAGCTGATACATTGTCTAAGAAGAATATAATTTCATCGTCTCTGGATGGCAGATGAAAGCTTCCTAGTCGATGGTACTCTTGATACACCTATTGATTGGATCACCGGCATGAGAAACATTCGGCTGAAGGACCTGCCAAGTTTTGTTAGGAACAATGACCCCAACGACACCATGTTTGACTTCCTGGGAGAGGAAGCACAGAACTGCTTAAATGCTCCTGCAATTATTTTAAACACTTTTGAAGCATTCGAACAAGAAGTATTGGAGGCGATCACAGCTAAGTTTCCTAGAATTTACACTACAGGTCCTCTTTCCTTGCTAGAAAGGTATGTGACTGATCCCAAAGTCAAGTCAATTAATTCAAGCTTGTGGAAAGAAGACTCAGCATGTCTTGAATGGCTAGACCAAAGAGAACCTAGCTCAGTTGTGTATGTGAACTATGGAAGTGTAACAATAATGTCTGCACAACACTTGAAAGAATTTGCTTGGGGGCTTGCAAATAGTAAGCACCCATTTTTATGGATTGTTCGACCTGATGTTGTAAGGGGCCATTCAGCGTTGTTGCCTCCAGAATTCTTTGAGGAGACAAAGGATAGAGGATTTGTAGCGAGTTGGTGCACACAAGAACAAGTCCTACTACACCCATCAGTTGGTGCTTTTTTGACACATTGTGGATGGAATTCTATGATGGAAAGTGTTTGTGGAGGTGTGCCTGTGATCTGCTGGCCTTTCTTTGCTGATCAACAAACCAATTGCCGGTATGCTTGCACTGAGTGGGGGATAGGAATGGAGGTAGATCAGGATGTAAAGCGTGGCGAAATTGAAGCTCTTGTTAAGGAAATGATGGAAGGGGATAAAGGGAAGCAAATGAGAAGCAGGGCTCAGGATTGGAAGAAGAAAGCTGAAGATGCTACTGATAGTGGGGGATCATCTTTTAACAACTTTGACAGATTCATGAAGGAGGCCCTCCATTTTGAGAGCAACTAGTAAAAACAGTTGGGGAATTTGTTTAGGTTTTCTGGGGTTTTTTTACTTGGGATGTGTTTGAAAATTAAACCAAATTCATGAATCAACTTAAGTGTGGAATACATGAACTATCTCATTGGGAGATGAAACACTTGTGTTAAAGTTAGTGTTTTATTTATTGTCTCGTCTTTTGTGTCTTTCTAGAGTCATGCAATAGTGCCTATAAATACATGTTCTTGAATTCTTTTGTAAGTAAGAAGTGAGAAAGAAAATATTTTAGAATTTGAGAGTTTCATATAAAAGTTGTTTGTGTTCTCCTTCTTCATATCATAGCCTCCTACAAATTGGTATCAGAGCCTTCTACAGATTAATATCAGAGCCTCTTACAAATTGATATCAAAGCCTCAATGATTCTATTAATCTAAAACTATGAAAGGTGGAGCAATTTTGAAGCATGAAGCAAAATAATATCTGGCTCGTGAAAAATCAATTCAAAGAAGATTCAAAGAGGAGGTGATTTTGGCACCGGCCAAAAAATGAATGAAAAATTAGTTCTCTCAAATTATGCATATTGGAATAATATAATTTCCGTTTATCTTAAAGCATGTGATTTATGGCGTGGTGTCATAAAAAATCCAAAAAGTTGTCAGCAAAACAAAGTTCTGAAAAAGAAAGAAGAAGTGGTACTCAAGATATTGAATAATGCAATTCATGAAAAAGTTTGGAAACATGTTGAAAATTTGAATTCTCCAAGTCAGGTATGGCGAAAGCTTGAATTTATGTCTTCCTCTAATTATAAATTCAAGTCAGTATCCATTGAATATTGGTTCCCAAATTACAATGAAGATGGATTTTGTGAAAAAATTGTTTGCGAAGATGAAAATGAAGAGAATTTTAATGAGATAGAAGAAAAAGAAGATTTAGAAAAAGGAGAATTTGGTGAGAAAAGTAGAAAGATGGAAGACGAGAAAATTTTAGAAGTGGAGTTTAAAATAGAAGCAAAATGAGTTAATGGTGATGAAAAACTTTTGAGAGAAGAAAAAGAAGAATTAGTAAATACTAATGGTGAAGTATTCAAAGAAGTAGAATTTGGAAAAATATAAATTTGAAGAAGAAAGAAAAGAAATAGTTAGTTGAGGATACCAAAGCCGGCATGGACCGGATCCAATTCACATGATGAAGAATGGGCCTAGTAATTGACCTGGGCCCGAACCAAGCTTTCATAAGGCAGGCCCAATGCTGAAGAAGTGAAGTTGAAAGCCCCTGAAGATGATCAAGCTCATTATTGTAAAAGTCTCGAGGATGAGCCCAATGGAAGAAGTTAGTTAGGAATCTTCTAGGAAACTGTAAATAGCGTATAAATAGAAGGAAAAGAGAGTAGAGAGGGGGAAAAAAATTTCTTGAAGTGTAATGAAACTCTGTCAAAATAGGGAGAGAAAATTCTTGCATCTTCAATGGCGCCGCCTATGGGAAATGGATGAGGATTGATTGATGTTTGATTCAGATTGATTCGATCCAGTGTAGTGCATGAAGACAAAGCTTGATCGCTGAAGGCTTAATCAAGATCGGTGAAATCGTGATTTGTCTGGCCGAATCTCAATTCCAGTTGATTTGGAGAGGTTGACGTTCGATCTACGCAGTTTTGATTTGTGCTTGTTTTAGTGAGCTGTGTAGTTGAGATTTGTTGAGGTTGCTGAATTTGGCGAGTTTGTTGTCGGAGTAATTCAGATCCGGCCAATCACGGTCGAAATTAAGCTAAGCTTGAATCCAGATCTAGTGTGTTCGCTTTAGCGAAGTTCAGATCTGATCAGAAATTTGCGGTTAATGACTTTGCTACAATCCGGAATGATGATCGGAGGAGAGAGTTTGAATCCAGTGGAGAATGGGCAGCAGATGAAGCTTGATGAATTGATGAGCATGATCGAAGCTCTAAGAAAAGAAAATGCAGAATTGAGAGCTGGAATGGAGCACCGAGAAGTTCGGTAGCACCGCGACCGTCTCTGGGGGGCGAAAGAGGCGTGCGGCCTGATGTAGCACATCAAGGTGAGCAAGAGGGAGATAACCAAGTGGATCTTCACCGCGAGGAGGTCAAGATGGAGAATTTACCGCCAAATGCTCGTCGAGTTGAAGATTGGGAATGATCTATACATCTAGAACCATATCAGGAGCAGATCAAGCGGGAAGAAGCTACAGCTTTCAATCTGTATCAGGAAAGGCACAATCGCGAATAGGATGTGGAGTTTGATTATCACAAAACTAATTTGCCCTGGCAGAAGGAGTTCACTAAGGAAAGGTTGTTTGATCCACCTTATTGGCCTTCAATGGCCACATATGACTATAGGAGCTCGGAAAGAAAACCTACAGATCAAAGAATCGTTATAAGGTTTCAAAGAGAGAATGAGGCCCTATGTTTGGCAACACGGACGGTTGATTCGCCGTTTACTGATGAGATCTTGAATGCTTCAAGTCCGAGGAAGTTTTCCATGCCTGTTTTCATTCTATTCGACGGAACAACCGATCTGATTGATCATATATATCACATTCAATTGAAGATGGCACTGAATACGGAGAATGATCCCTTGATGTGCAAGTCTCTTCCTACAAGCTTAGCTGGATCGGTGATCAACTGGTTCAAGAACTTGCCGAGGGGCTCGGTGGACAGTTTCCGTAGTTTGTGTGATCGGTTTATAAGCCAGTACTATGGGAATAAGCGCCTGGCAAAAGATATCTCTAGTCTGTTCACTATGAAGCAGTATGAGGATGAGCGTCTTTAAGCTTTCTTACCAGGTTTAACCTAACCAAGAGTATGGTGATAGAGTGCCATCCTTCCACAACAGTTCAAGCGTTCAAATTAGCAATGACTCGTGGAACACTGTTCCACACAAGCCTGGTGGTGAACACACCACAGACCAAGGACGAACTGAACAAGAGAGCTGATGGTTTTGTGCGTTTGGAAGAAGAAGAAGCAGCTAACGTTAGGAAGACATCTATTATCTCCACAGAAGAGAAGTCTAAAGCCAAGATTCGGCAAAAACAGGCTCCGTCGCAGCGTCAGACCTCCTGGAAGGCAGAGAAGAGGCCTAGAGAGGATGAGTTGGTTACTCCACTTAAGGTTACGCTGGCAAGGTTATACCAAGAAAACAAAGATAAGTTTCGCCCTCCCTTGCCAACCAGGCAACCTCTCGAACAGAGAGATCAATCTAAACATTGTGCTTTTCATAGTGATTTTGGTCACCAGACTAATGAATGCAGGAACCTAAGGAGGCAAGTAAAGATGCTGATCGCCAGGGGAGAGTTTGCAGGATATGTTCAAGGGCCAGCACAAGAGCAAAATCGACCAATTGAGTAAGTCAAGAGAAATCAAAAGCTGAACCACCATAACCCTTATCCTGTTTGGATTATAAATGCAAATCATGGTCGACTTGAACAAACCGAAGAATCTGAAGAATTGTTCCGAACGCGTCTTCGCCAAGCACAAATGAAGAGGAGAATAGGTAGTGTCAACACTCTGCACTAGCAGAGCGCATCAACACAGATAAGATTCAATAAAACAGACCTGATGCGAGTTCAGATTCCTCATGAAGACCCCCTGGTCGTTAGTTTGACAGTGGTAGAGTGTTTGGTACGAAGGGTGCTAATTAATCCAGGGAGTAGTGCCAATATCATGCCTAGAGTCACCTTCGATTGGTTGGAAATCAAGCCAGAGGAACTCAAATGTACTAGGAATCCGTTGTTGGGATTTGATGGAAAACAAGTTGAACCGATCAGCACAGTAGAATTGTTGGTCCGGGCAGCCGAAAGGGAGCTTGTCGAAAGCTTTGTAGTGGTGGAGATCCATCCCTCTTACAATCTATTGATGGGGAGAGGGTGGATTCATATGACACCAAGTGATGAGATGCCTGAGTCTGGATGGGAGCAAGGTGATTGACATCCATAGGGATCAGGTTGCAGCAAAGGAATGTTACTCGGTGACTTTGAAAGCCGCAGGGAAGGGAAAAGCTCCCATCCGATCTGTTAGCACACAATAGCAATTAAAGAAACCTCCCCCTAGCACGAAAGGGGAGGAGGAGCTTCCGGTGCTAATCGAGGAACCCTAGTTAAAGTTTAAATTAATCATTTGAGGCTAGATCGAACTACAAAGGTAGGTTCAGGGTTTGCCGAGGAAGAAAAACGCCAGTTGATTGATTTCCTTTCCCAGAACGCAGACGTATTCACTTGGAGCCATTCAGGCATGTCGGGGATCGACCCCTCTGTCTCTTGTCATTCCCTTAATATAGATCCGAGCATCAAGCCTGTGAGGCAGAAGCAGAGAAGGTTCGCCCCAGAGCGCAACCAGTTCATTGCAGACAAAGTTAATCGATTGTTAGAGGTTGGGTTCATCAGAGAAGTACAGTACCCGATCTGGTTATCGAACGTGGTTGTAGTGCAAAAGAAGAACAAAAAATGGAGAGTTTGCATTGATTTCACTAATCTGAATAAAGCCTGCCCGAAGGATAGTTTTCCACTTCCAAAGATTGATCAAATGGTGGACGCAACAACTGAGTATGAATGACTGACCTCTCTGGATGCTTATTCAGGCTATAATCAAATCCCAATGGACCCAAGTGATTAGGAAAAGACCTCTTTTGTCACTGAACGAGGGATATATTGCTACAAGGTCATGCCGTTCGGACTGAAGAATGCCGGAGCTACGTACCAAAGGTTGGTTAGCAAGATTTTTAAGGATCAAATGGGTAAGACGGTGGAGGCTTATATCGATGACATGGTGATAAAAAGCAAACAGAAGGACCATCACTTGAAGCATTTACAGGAGGTGTTCGGCGTACAAGGTATGGAATAAGGCTTAATCCAACTAAGTGCTCGTTCGGCGTGGGATCCGGGAAATTCCTTGGCCGCATGGTCAACAATAGAGGGATTGAGGTCAACCTAGCCCAAGCGGAAGCTTTGTTAAAAAATGCAGAATCAAGCACTATTAAGGAAGTCCAAGCTCTCACCAGAAGTATAGCGGCATTGAGTCGATTCATCTCTAAGTTATCCGACCGATGCAAGCCATTCTTTGATATAATCAGGAGTCACGGAAAACAGTCCTGGGGGGATGAATAGAGACAAACGCTGACCTAGTTGAAAGAATATATGCGGAACCCACCAGTCTTGAATGCCCCAAAACCAGGTGAAAAACTTTTCTTGTACCTTGGAGTTTTTAACATTGTAACTAGTGGTGTACTAATATGATGTGTAGAGGGTAAGTAGTTCCTGATTTTCTATGTAAATAAAATGTTGACCTAGCCAGAGAGAAGGCATTCAAAGGCCGAACGAGTAATCTTA